AGCACTCCGGTGCTGCTCAACCAAACATTTACAGCTTGATTTTTGCGCCATTCGCCTTCTTGCTCGATCATCGTGAGTGCCCCTCCCTTTTCGAAGACTTCACTCACGCAGTCTCGTTCAACCAATGCAGCGTGACATGGAGACCGATCGCGTCGCAAGCCGCAACGCTTGTATTGCGTGATGCGGACTGCTGACTTGAAGCAAAACTAGGTACGTACAATTTTTGCCTTTCTATTCTTTTTTGGTAGACCAGCTAACTTGCGGGAATCATTGTGATATGTGTGTATGTGAGCCGAAACTGGAGCGTAAATGCTATACCTTCTCTTATGGAATGATGTATGGGCCGACTTAGTCGACTGTAAGTGTTAGAAGGGCGAAATCAATATAAGCACAAAAATGCGATTGATTAGGTACCTGGATCGCTGTGTATGCTGGAAGTGTGGCGAATGTGAAGGCGAAATTGGCAATGGTGTTCACTGCGAACACCATCGACTGCACAACTGACCGATGTTGTTGGTTTACCAGCTCCGAAGTGATGAAAAATGCTATTGGGCCAAGGCCGACGCTGAAAATTTCAAGTTTAACTCGCATCACAACAATTTTTATTAAGGCATTTTCCCAATCCTGATTGTCTTTTGTTTTTGCATTTGTTTCGAATTCAAAATCTCGCCAGCAGAAGTTACGCATCAAGGATCATGGATATGTACATGAACATGGCATTGCAGTCTGTACGCTGCCACCATGTAGTGGTTCATATGCCGCGTCTGGCGTAGTTGGGGTATCCTGCGTAACCTACTACGCCTGGGTTTTGTCGCCAGGACAGTGGTTCGCACCTTCGTGCAATATTAATCTGCTCACTGGGAGTACCGGTATGGTTGTGGCTTCTTGCGGTACAAGCTGTTGCACGGATCGCCAGTGCGAAAATCAGGTCGACGGACTGCGTAAACCCAGTCCTTTTGAACCCTCTCTCGCGGGATCCCTCTCCTCTAAGGTTGGTCCTATAGTCATTCACCCGGCTTCTTCAATCGGCTGTGCTCTACCATCACGCGGCAGGACTATGGAGGTAAAAATCAGTATCGGAACTGCGAAAGAAACGAGAATACGGAACATCTGAAGTCAGAGCAAAATACTGGACCTTGATGGGTCACATCGCGTGCTATCTAGTTGGGGGGGGTGTAGCCGCGCCCGGTCGCGCGCTGTGGGCTCCTCCGCAACAGTGAGTTCCCTGATGGCGTGTATTTCAAAACTGCCATGTGGCGACGAAATAGTAACTGTCTCTTGGACTAAGCCTTGGAGGAGCAGACGAACTGAGCGCCGCGCCGCCGCGTGGTCCCCCCCCCCTCCACCCAACTCAAAATCGCACCCAACATCGCTTCTTGCCATATACTTCACCTGGAACATAAAAGTAAATGGGTTGGCGAAAACGGCAGAAAGTTTGAATTCGGAAGAAAAATATCGCCCGTAGAGAGTAGGCTGACTTACCCATAGGTAATTCCAAATAGTATCAAGGCAATGATTGTTCCCCATCTGAATGGGTTGTACACAGCTGTCAACTGGTCGAATACCACGTATAAAGCCAACGAAACAGTATTGAGCATTCCAAGCCAGAGCACTAAAGTACGTCTACCGAACCTGAAAACATAGTTTTAGGGAAAACTCGCATGTAAACTGTCGAAAGCCATTGTCTTCTGTGTTTGGGCTCTTTATGCTACTTGATATCCCACAGGTGCAAGCGGTTTTACACGCCTATTTCTCTTCACCATGTCCAAATCCCATTTCTATTGACGCCGCCCCGGCTCGCTCCGTGCGTTCCCTGCGGAGCCCGCCTTACTTTAATCCTCGCACGACATGCATTTTCCGGCTACCGTATTCAAAAAATCAGGTATGATCCACTACGATTAGGTTGTCAGCACATAGTTTCTGGGTACCCCCCAGGAGGCCCGTCGCGCGGCGAAGAAGAAGCGGACGAGTTGTGCGCGTACTGTAGGGATTTCGCGTCAAGTTAAATAGAATGTCCCATTGTACGTCCTACATCGCACATCACGCGCTGCGACTCGTCCGCGACTCTGCCTTCTTGCCGCGAATCGGGGTATTCTGATATTGGGGTGCTCCTAGTGCTTCCATCCAAGAGCCTAGAAAACCAACCTCTCAATGATGAACATGCCACCCATACCGGCGACAAAGTTGGATACAATGAAGACTAATGAGGCCAGTTGAGCGATTTCCGTCGAAAAATGCACCATAAGCATATCAGTGGAAAGATAGATTATCGACCAGATACCAATAACGACCTAGAAAAGTTCGTAATACAATCTTGTTTTGTCGTTTCTCCTTTCAAAAAACCAGTTTGTCACGATGCTGCCGACAGCAAACTGATCCTGAAACCGCTGCGCAGTCGCGCGCCCGTTACATGTGCACTGAGGCTCACCTGGAGACATAGACAACCGATGAAGAATGGTGTCCGCAGATATGGTTCACGTAAGACGGTAATGGCCGAGGACACCAAAGACATTTTTGGAGCGGTATGGTCGTCCATCTCGAGCAGCATCTCGTCCAGAATAGCGTCCAAGTCAGGTGAGTCACCTAAAACATTGCTGTCCTATTTGCATTGCTTACGAGGATTTCTTTAGAACTTTCAAAATGACCTTCAGAGGAGATTGCCCTGGCCTATCTCGTACTAGGTTTCGTCGTGCAGCCGTGGAACTCCGCCGTTGTTACAGTGGTCACCCCTCCCCTAGGTTCACATCAAAGACCTAGCTAGTTCCTTCCCCCTTCTTCTTGCCCTACACCCAGCCACCTTACGCCTCCGGAAAATGCGTTTTGGTTCAATCCAATACATCTTCCAGCCTAGTAGAAAGGAAAGGCGACCCCCTTTAAGGTACGGCGTTGCGGGCTTAATGGTACGGCATGCCCTGAAAATACACCATGAACTACCATCTTACCTCGGTAGAACTTTAATGACTCCATTGCAGCGTTTCGATCCTTCCGATTGAGCAGAAGGAATTTCGGTGTTTCTCGAAGTGGAAGGATGAGAAGAATTGAAGCCGCAGCCGGTATCATAGCGATTCCTGGAAAGGAATTATTTCAGGGCTTTTCCCCAGTCAGCCACCACCAATTCGATTCAACCGTATGACAGTTTTGACCTACCTGTGAGTACCGGTAGATTGTTACCGAAAACGGCATCCATCCCAAATCCGATGCCCATCACTGTTGTGGCTATGAACGTGTTTTCCGATAGGAATGACGTCATGCCGCGGTATTCTGTGGGCGTGGCTTCCTGAAATCTTCCCTGATTGGTTACATAGGAGGAGATGTGATTGGGTAGCATTACCTGTAGGAAGAGTATCAGTGCACCGAAAGAGACGCCAGAACTGAATGAGGCGATCAGTCTGGAGGCAAAGAACAACTCCGGCACTGAGAACACGGTGCTTAGGAAGGCGAGCACCGCGCCCAAGAAGGCAACAATATTTGCCCCGAAAAGGGTTCCTGAAAATGTTGTCTAATCAAGCATTTGTGAAGATATTTTGGCCTCTGTTCACAACACTCTACCCTAGCAGAATGAGAGTCGCATAGTGCCTGTGCTAGGCACAATCCAGTCGAAGCTGATCAGTTTCCATCCTCCGATCGCCAATAGCATCAGAGGGGAGCTGTGAAGCTATCTGGTTGGGACCCAGGGTCAACCGTCCGTTCGAACAGTTCGAACGAAGGGGTCGCATTTTGGTCGGAAGGGGTCGCAATTTCGAGGACTGTCAGCCACAGCGCGTGCGTGGCGTATCCGAGGCAAGAATTGTTTGTGCAGACCGCATTAGATTCGATTAATTATGCACAAAGAGACAGTTTTGGGCAAATTACGGTGTTTTCCTTGAGGATAGAGAACAGTTGAATGCATCTCCATGAAAAGTTTGACTTCTTGTGGCTGAAATTGAACTTCTTCGGGAACCTACTTTTCTACGGACGGTTCTTCCACAAAATCGTGAAACACATAAGAAAGAAGAAACCTCGCGGTCTTCAAAAATGTCTTCGCCTCTTTCCAACATGCTCTTTGAAGGAAGTTATTATTGCTGAAAGCTCGAAACTCGCATGTGCTGCTCAAAAACCTATGGGATCCAAATGTTCGAACGTGGGATTTTCTCGAAAAATGAACTTTGAAAAATGGTTTAGGGCTTGTTAGAAAGAGCAAATTCTGCTCTTTCACCCCATGGAAAGAGGGAAACGCAGCAATCAAAATGAAGCGAGTTATGCTCGTTGAAAGCCCAAAAACTCGCGATTTCAAAGAATGTGTTCGGCAAAACCGCCCGAAATGTTCGAACGTGGGATTTTCTCGAAAAATGAACTTTGAAAAATGGTTTAGGGCTTATTAGAAAGAGCAAAACCTGCTCTTTCACCCCATGGAAAGAGGGAAACACAGCAATCAAAATGAAGTGAGTTATAGTCGCTGAAAGCTTAAAAACTCGGTTTTGCACGGGAACTGTTCGAACGGGGCAAATTTTTGAAAAAGGGGACAATCACTTAACTTTTTATAATCTTTTGTTAGAGAAATATTTGAAGTTTCTAAAACTTTTCACAAATTTCCAAGATGTCGCATACGAAAGATTTTATGAGCTCTCAAAGTTGGAGGTGCGCCTTCTCAGAATTTTGGGTTTTCCGCTTCTGACAGAAATACTTTTGGGAGAGTTAGGTCATCCTTGCAATTTTCTGTAAAGCCACCTCAGGCACAGTTTAAACCTACCTCAATAAGTGAAACAAATACGTCTCAAGAAAGTTACACTCTCCTAAAACTTTTTCTTCGCCGCGTCCCAGTTTTCCAGCGTCCGGGTGATACCTGCCGCGCTCCAAGGTTGACGCCGCAACGCAAACGCTTTCTGCGGCGGTTTCTGACGCAATCATGTCAGTCCTACTCTTCTTTAATCCTTCCTCTTTTTTCAGCTGTTTGAGCAGAAGTTCGTCAGTCTTCATGTTACTTGTTGGATATCCCTCCATTTGGTCTTACACATTTCGCTTTCATCCTCATTTTGGCGTGATTGTGAGCGAACAAAAATTTTGATCTCGCGAGGCTAACCATAAAAAATAGCTTTCATTAGCCAGTGCCCTGTGATTCTTGCTCCTTTGGGGCTCATCTTAGGAGATGCATTGATGGAGAACGTAACTCTCTTTGATTTACTCCCTTGAACTGCTCTTGTGATTCTTTCGGAAGCATGAAGTTTGAAGTTTTGGGCAACATGAAAAAAATATTGAATTTTTTTCAGAAATTCAATGATTTTTTGAAAACAATTCAATTCAAATTTCAGTGAAGATCTCAATATTCAAATGTTCTGTTCATATTTCATGGAAGTTCATTGTCCATTTGAAAACAATGAACTTACGAACTTACGAACACAACATTTGAATATTGAATTCTTTACTGAACATTTGAATTGAATTTTTTTCAAAAAATCATTGAATTTTTGAAAAAAATTCAATGATTTTTTGAAAAGAATTCAATTCAAATGCCAGTGAAGAATTCAATATTCAAATGTTTTGTTCTATGTCATGGAAGTTCATTGTCTTTAAAAGGTTTTAGTTCACTGTCTTTGAAGTAAAATGAGTGAAATAAATATTTCACTTAACATTTAGTCAGCACATTCGGCACTTCCATTACCTAAGAGGGGGTCGCAACTGGACCCCCTTGAGATAAGGGGGTGACCCCCTTGAGAAAAGGGGGTCGCAAAAACCCTGAAAATGTTCGAACGTGACGGTTGACCCTGGTTGGGACAATGACTGGGTCATGCCGGGCTGCCCAGTCGGCTCGGATAGACTCCGCTAGACGAAGGCCTTCGCTACTTCCGCCTGCTATCTGCTGTGGCTATCATATAAAATCACATCTGCTTTGTAAGCCCCCACACACACACACATGTAGGATGTCCGTGTCAGTAGGATTCAGCTTACCCGACCTCATTAATGGCTCTCAAGCATGAGCGTAATGCGCTGGTTCTCTATTTGTAATGATTGGCTATCTTTGAGAATGTCATTGATTGGGAGTGTTAGAAGGGCGGTTAAACCACAATCTTTCGACACTGCGGTCGGTATACTCGCCATCGCTATATTGCCCCTCCAACCTCCCGTTTCACTCTTAAATTATGTTTTCGGAGTATTCGATGCCGCTCCACTGGGTCCAAAAAATTACGTCGAAAAGGCAGCCCATTATCAAGGTAGGGATGGTTAGTGGTGCAGGAAAGAAGAAAAATCCATGAAAAAGGTCTCAGAACCCGAGAAAGAGACCCCATATTTGCCCATTGATTCCGCATTGATGCGACGGCATTGATGCTTTGCCTTTTCTATACGCTAGGCGCTCGCGTCTGTAAATGGCTAGAGTCTCGCATTACGTCAGACGGCGGGAGGTGTGGGCGTGCCGCGGCACGAGCGGCGCGAGGTATGACCCTGACCTAAGCCACTGCAGCATACTTTCGCTGCGAGCCGCGTATCGTTCCGCACCCTTAGGGAAAATCGCCTGCCTTTTGACTTAGACTATTTCCACTTTTTCTATCTCCGACCTTATCGTGGAATCCTTCAATATATATTGAGGTTTAAACGTTCAGGCTTATAGACCATTCTGTGCTCTGGCATCTTAATTACCATAATCGTCCTATAGTCGAGTGCAAACGAGAAAACATAAGGGCATTTTGTTATTCACCGTCAAATCCGATAGCGTAACTTATGTAAACGCTACCGTAATATCACCGTGTTAATGATTATATTTGGTCTCGCGTATGTTATATTTTGTATTTTGATCGCTAGAAAGCACAAACACAGCTCTTCTGTCAGGCCTCATCGTGTTGCGATCGCACCCAGGGATTAAAAGTCTTGCCCCACAAGTCTTGGTATAATTTTCACTTTAAAGAAGTACTTTTGGTAGGCTAACTCTGAATTTTTCGATGGCCGTGCTCTCTCCTTCTAGCTGAACCTGGTCTATGGCCCTTATCATATGGGTGATAAACCTCTCGTTCACCCTGACCCCACTCAAACTAGTGCGACGCTAAATTTTGGGGTTAGATTTTAAAAACTGGAAAATCATCCTCTGTCAAAATCTCTACTGATCAACTGACCGCGCTCCACATGTTCTGACACATGTTCTTCCGCAGTTTGATATGCTCCTGTTGGCTCAAACATTTTTTGCGCTGGCTCCATCAAAAGTTTTCTGTGGGCTTCCCTTTGCCGCCTAGTGAAAGAGATCTCAGGTCCATTCCAGTCAGGGGGTACCACGATGCAGTTTTTCAAGAAAGCTACGGTAACTCCGCCAGGGGTAGTGTAAGCAGTCTAGGGGTTGGGGGGGGGTGGGTGAGGCGAGTCACTTGACATGCGTGAAAATCTGGGATGTTTGAGTTTACACTAGTTTAGAAGTAACTGCATATCACTGATGTCCTAACTGTGAATAGACCCGATTCTGTTCCATTGACGCTTCGCGACCTTATTTCGTTATGCTGAAGTCATCTATGAATGTCCTGTATTCAGACCAGTTTTCTTGGAAATATTGTAACCACTAACTTCTTTCGTCCGTAATTCCGTGAAGTAGGCTGTGACGATGTTCATGTTCAAGATACGCCAACTGAACCACACGTTTAAAATCGCCGACCATACCCACATGAAGAGCGTGGGAGAGATTCCATCCTAAACAGCTTTTCTTTTTTTTTTACCACCACCAACTTTTTTATTATGCCTGGAAGTTGTATTTCACTACTTCGTTACTGGATAGGGTCTATATGAAGCAGGAGGGGGAGGTAGGAAAGCACTTTGGGGCAGTAATTCGTGCCTACTTCAGAAATCCCAATTTTGCAGGGAATTATGGGTTGAGTGGGACCAATTTCTGAGCTTCTGTGAAAATGGAACTTAGGTGAATAATATTGTTTTCTCAATAGGAGCTTTCGGTGGTTATTCTGTAATACTTTCGGAAACTTTGCACCACAGAGCACCCCTCCCCCCCGTCCCAACTCCCTCTCCTCTCTTCAGACAGACCCATTTCATGATTTTTTTTGGATGAATATTTTTTTGAGAAGAATCAAACTCAAAACTACCTCATCCCCTCGTCTGATGTAGGAATCGTTGATCATCGTTTGGAACGACTTGTATGAAGTGTTCGGATACGAATTTGAATATCCTTCCTGAAAATGGCAAATTCTGCATAAGCATAAAGATTTTGCAATCCTTTTTTCGGCGCTTCAATTTATGCTATGCTTAATATAAGTATAATGGCTTTTGAACTTCTCAAACCACTCTTTTTTAGTGCTCATTACCCATACTGCTAAATCCGCTCTTAAAGGCATGCCCCAGGATCACATGGTGTGGCTCTTGCACACGAATGCGAATGTATTGGTGCGAAATGGGCCGGCAGTAAAGAAAAAAGGAAAAGAATCCGTCGAAAACGCTTAGGTTAAGGGCTCACTCACCTTCCTAATCGGCTGTGCTAAGGGAATGAGAGACTAAGCGCGGAGAGGAGAGTATGAGGCGAGAGAGCGCAACAGATGAGAGGGCGCCAGACAACAGCCTGATAAAAAATGCAGCTGCAGCAGCTTACTTTGCAAGGCCCTAGCGCTCTTGTCGGTGGTTTCCGTGCACGGGAATGCCACATTGATTGTCCTCCAGGGTCTATCCTGCAGACCAAAGGGAATCGTTCATATTACCTCTGCCTGGGTTGTGCCTTTAAGGTTGGATTGAAGATGATAGCTGGCTAAATGCGATAAGAAACAAAGGAGTTCGAGTAGATTATGTCGCGGAGATCTCCCATGTCATAAATTTGTTTGATACGCTTTCCGAGGTTTGCAGCACAAAAGCTTTTCTTCGGTTTACCTTCATCTTATTTCCTTTTGGCTCGCCGCTTAGCTCGACGCTCTTACTTATTCGGTTTCCTAATACTACGTGCGTCATTTCCCACAACGAAGTTAAAGGCACAGGCCATAATATGTCAATGTGGGAGTGGGGTTAAAAATCAATAGCGTAGTTGCTAAACTACTCGTAAATTGGAACAAATCAAAAAAAAGCCTGCAAAGACGCCCTTGATAATTCTCTTCTCTTTTTTGTTCATTCTAGAATTTACATAATTATGTGAAGGGGAAAAACTGCGCAAAGTTACGAGGAAGCAGACGTTGGAAAGACGAGAGAGAATAGGGACAAGCGAGACGTAGGCAATGAAGAGTAACGGGCGATGAGTGAGGTCGCGGGACTAAAGTGGACTCAATTGAGCGTACAGTTTTCAGCATTTCTTATAACCGAGATAGCAGCTAAGGTAGACTGAAGGTTGGTACTGAGCACTCCATGTTGGGATGTCTCATTAGGCACAGATTCCAACTCTCGGCGATGAATCAAAAGCGTCAAAGTTAGACACTTCCAAATCACTGAATAGAAACTTACTGGAAAGTTCACAACAGCACCTAGTGAACCGAAAACCAAGAGACAATTGAGCATACGACCTGAAATCAGATTATTGGTTTAAACTTCTTACTTGAACTGTAACTTGATTGAAGCTTACCTCTGGGTGCGAACATTGTTGATTTCTTAGTTGGGTACTATATAATAGATTGAACACACTCTTTCGATGATCAATAACAAGCGTGCCTGTGGTACGGGGGGGGCCCGCTTTCGCGGAAAGAATGCCCTTTCCTGAAACACAACAAAAACTGATTTTCTGCAAAACTCAAATTCGATTACATACAATCTTATCGAGGAGAGAAGGAAAGTTTATTCCTCAATTAATGGACTTGGGAACAAAATAGAGCAGGCTGTTGGCGTCAATGATACCTGACAGCTCCGAGAGTTCCTGCGGTGTTCAAGGGTTTACGGGAAAGGCCTAAAGGCCCGTCCTTTGAAGCGCCCCGAGTCGTCAACGAGAACATTTTCCAGCAGTTTTCGGCATATTTAGTCATCAAAACGATAAACGGGGCATTTTCGAACACTCGAATTGATCGTTAAATATGCGTCGAAAATGGGCCATCTCAGATGGAAGGACATTATTTCATTCTTGAGAAGGAGTTTTGAAACCATCTGAGCCATTTGAGGGAATAACTTTTCAAAGTCCTGCCATTACAACTCCTTATTCATTGAGTATTTTTTCAAGCTCAATTTTGCATCAAAACAAAGTTTATAGGATGCTGTGGATTGACTGTTGATCACTCAGTGTTATGATGATACGCAGTTTACATTCAAAAAGAGTTCGGGTAGAAATACTGCAGTGTGAACGGTGACGCTTTCATTCCCCTGCATTCCCTGCATGCAAATCCTTCCTCGGCCCCTTCACAATACCCCCGGCCACAATGCTTTCATCTATTTATTATAGATTCATTATCAGTAAGCGTTGTTGACGTAAAACGCATGTCTATAGCAGTGGCCAAAGTCATTCTCTAAGGCCATTGAGATGCGAAATCCGCATTCAACACTTAAAATTCAGGACACATGTCGAATGCATGGCGCAAGCATAAAGTATTTCTAACGTCACTCTGTTTGCAATTTATGGTTACCTGCAGCGAGGTCCTTCTACAACGGGTCAGTTAGACCTGTTCAGTTGGACGAAGTTACCAGTTAACAGCTGTGGAAGTTAATATGGTAAATGTTGTGTTTACACGAACAGTTATATAATGTTTCTAGGCAGGCTTATACTTTTTCCGCATTCTGCATATAAGCAGGCTTAAGCTCTGTACATAGTATTGTTTACGGCGGAACCTAGTGACAGTCCTAGTACAGAATGCATATGCTCGGGTAACGATTCCATCGTTGGAACGGATAGGTCGAATGGAGAGTCTGACTCGGGCCTGCACTTCCGTGCTCAGGATGGGTCGCTACTCTTTTTCAAAATAATGCAGGCCTTAAAGTTTAAATTTTGCAGTTATGGTAGATTCACGCTTAGGTCAAAAACTCGAAAGCTGCTTCTGGGAAGAATTTTGCTCAAAGTACGGAGCGTGTGAGGCACACCAAAGGACGCGTGGTCTCACGAGCCTGTTGCGTGCAAATCCGCATTGTCGTAAAAGGGTTAAGGTGGTTAGTCATTTTGCAGGAAAATAAGCTGATAACCGAGTAGTGCACTGATAAGCTGATAACAGAGTAGCGCACAAGTGCAATGATCGAAATCAGAAAACTGAGTACATTTTGAGTAAATGCTCACCTTCAAAGTTCCTAGTGGTTTCGTGAGGTCGTTACAGAGCTAAGAAACAAATACCAGATAGTCTAACCACCTGCCGTCCAACTGAGGCCGATTTGAGGGTATAGAGCGAACGGGAGTATTAATAAGCGGAAACACCTGATTAATATGTATGCGTGCACTTTTTTGGTAGTACCTTGTGACGACGCCGTCAAGCCGGACGGGTGATCTTATGTAAATGACTTTTTTCGAAGCAGTTCGTCATTAATTCTTTATAGTTCTAACTGATTGACAGGGAAAACAGTGAAGCCATGATTAGTCTCTTTTTCTGATACGCCACGTATTCAACTCCTGTCCATTATTGCAGAAGTAATTGAAACAGCAGTGGGCTTTCCTGTAACTCTTGAGGCAGCTCATGCTAAACACAGTTTTCCTTCCTTCAATGTAATTTCATATGCATAACTCCCAATCAAAGGTTTCCGTAGTCCAAGAAGATGAGCCAAGGGCAGGGTTACGCTTCTTGGTTACTGTTCTGCATCATGTGAACGGCCCATGACCATTGACCCCTGGTTACTTCTAGTTTCTGGGAATAAGAAGTTTTAGTACATCTTGCATTATGGGTTGATTGTCGTTGAAAACCGGGTGGTATTTTTCGCTTTCAAACGCTCACTCATAACCCAAGCCTTCCACAATTCGTTGAAGTGGCCGAACATTTCCAAACAAACAGTCTGTTTGTTTAATCTTGATGTATACAGGGGTGGCCAAAAAAAGAGACACTTTGCTCATGCCACGTCAGCAAGCTTTAACTCGCCCAGGTTGCCGTGGTCAATGGAAGTGTTTCGGCGAAATATTCCGAAAATGTTCCTCTATAGCGAGGGGAAGCCCTTTCGCTAACCTTGTCTTCTCCAAAATACGACGTCATCTACAATCACGGTCGAGCCCAAGGAGACTTTCCGCAATTGCTTCAGCCTGAAGCAGCTCCTTAAAGGCACGCTCCGCGATCAGGCGGGCTCGCCTGTTCCATCCAGGGGTAGTAGGCAGGTGGAAAGTTGATGTCAAAGGCGCAAGGAGCTCGTCCAACCCGCAACTCACACCTTCGTCCGCAAGCCCCACCCTCCGCTGTCGGTTGCCACGTGGCGCTGCTTGAAAAGCGCGGGCGCATTTGAGGCAGCGGTCCCAGCGCGATCCAATGTTATTGACACTGGAGCAACTAGAG